GTTCTCTGATATGTGGATACTGACTCACAGTAGGCTGGGGGTTGGGGGGTGGAGTGGAGGTTCACCGGAGTGGATGGGGGGAATGGATGCAAGGGAGGGGGGAATTGGGGGAAGGGAAGGGAGATTGGATTGGGAAAGACAATAGAATGAATTGGACATAACTTTTGTGTGTTCATATATGAATACACCACCAGTGTAATTCCATATCATGTACAACCACAAGAATGGGGGTTATAGTCCATGTATGTATGATATGTCAAAATACATTCTCTGGCATGTATAAGTACAAAGAAAAAATTTTAAAAATGAGAAAGAAAGGTGTCGGGGGGTAGGTGTCTCATGAAAATCTAAGGGAGATCAGTTGAAGTAAAGGACCAGGGGGAGGTGGGAAGGAAGGAAAAGGGGAAATACTGGGGAATGATATTGGCCAAATTTTACTGTGTACATGTACAAATATGTAACAACAACTGTTATGTACCAATAAAAAATATGAGAGAAAAATAAAATAACTGAGCTTAGCAAACATTTTTCAAACCAAGGACAAGGAACATAAGAGAAGGTTGGGGGCTGGGGTTGTGGCTCAGAGGTAGGAGCGCTCACCTAGCATGTGCCGGGTGCCGTGTTCAACTACAACTATAAAACCAAATATTAGAGAGAGAGAGAGAGAAAAAGAGAAAGGTTGAAGGAAAAAAGAAAATTACTTGAGACGTCAGATTACAGTTTTGCTTCTTAGGCAACCACATTCTAGCTCTAAGGCTACTTCTTATCCTTAAAAACCTTACCTAATTTTCTCTTATCCTTGATCCTTGGTCCTGTATGGGCACATCCTCTCTGGATATCCCCCTTTATCCTCTTGGCCTCAGCCAGAACTTCTCTTCCAGAAAACTAACTGGTTATAAATTAATATCACTCACTGTGCCACCTGGATGTTTGAGAGGACCCTTTTCCTCACAGAAGATATCTTAGATCATATAAAAATAAATCTTTATATTGCCTAAATATGGAAGTCAATTTCCTGTTAGCATCTGTTGTTGAGGTATCTGTAGGATAGTGGAGGGAAGGCTAGATTGCTCTTAAAGTTTCTGGATCAAACTTGTCTTGTAACTAAATTATCATAGCCAAACCTTAAAAAAAAAAAAAAAAAAAAGTTTACATTCTTGTCTCTTGCTCACTCTTTAACACTTTGCAAGCTGTCTCTACCCACCCCCACCTGGCCCACTAATACCCTTCTCACCAAGATTGCCTGTGACCTCCTATTACCAAATCAATTGGGGTTTTCTCAGCTCTCTTCCTGCTTGCCCACTCCATGACACTTGACATGAATGACCTGTATTTTAAGCTCAAGAAATAGTTATAAATATTACAGAAAAGGGAAACATACTTCCTTGGTTTAGATTGGCCATAGATGATGTGAAATGGGGTCAAAAGAGAATGTGTGACCTCAGTGTCTGATAACCTGAAAAAGGTCTGGGGCCCTGCTTTCTGGGGATGGGGTAAATTGGTTGAGTCCTGACTCATGACACATTGTTTCCTGAGGAACTCTGAAAGGAGATGAGGGTTTGGGGCCTGGAGAAGGGAATTCTAAAGGAAGCTTTCTGGGCTCTCAGATCTTGAAGGGTTCTGCAAGGAAGAAATAGAAGTCTCTGTAGTTTCTGAAGACATACCTCTGGCTTATGAATAGAGTTGTGGGAACACCAGGGTTTAGTTAAGTGTTTAAGGAAAGATGTTCTAAAATTGAGTTCAAAATTAGAGCTGTCTGCTCTGTGAAGTATGAGTTCTTTGTGTGTGGTGACCGTCTGCTAGAGGTGGTTTCATTTTAGCTCAATAAACTTTATAAGACATTAGCCTGGGCCCTCTGCTCAGTCTCATTCTGTGTTCTTCCCAGGTGAGTATAGTAATATCTACTCTTAATTTTCCTTACATTAAATTAATGATCAATGATCTATATTCCTAGGCCAGATATCTCTGCAGAACTAGTATGTAGCTGCCTCATAGATGACATTCTACTGTCAGATGTCTCCTAGGATCCTCAAATTCAGCAGACATTGAGTGTTTACCTTGTGTCAGACATATATCTGAAATTTGCATTCCCAAACTTCTGCCTCCTTTTAGTGATAAACTAAAATAACTGAGCTTAGCAAGCATTTTTAGTGATATACTAAAAGGAGGCAGAGGTGGGGTAGTAGGGGCAGTCTACCCCAGTTTAAGCAGTAAAGGGGTACTCTATATGCAGAAAACTTAAAGACCATGATAAAATTGACCAAATCCTGGCCTCAAATATGCTTTCTTTGTTACCACCTCCTCTATTTTAGTGTGTAGTGTGAAGCTAGTTGTTTTAGTCTGTTTTGTGTTGCCATAACAGGATTCCTGTGACTGGTTAATTTATTACCCAGAGATTCATTTCTCAATTCTGGAGTCTGGGAAGTCCAAGGTTGAGAGCTCCACATCTGGTGAGGGGTTTCTTCCTGTGTCATCCCATAATAGAAGGCAGAAGGGCAAAAGAGCATGTGTGTGAAAGACAGACAAAGGAAAGGTGCCAAACTCATCCTTTTATCAGAAACCCACTTCTATAACTAGCATTAATCCTAATCACTTCGTAAAGGTCCTACCTCTTAACATGTCACATTGGAGATTAAGTTTCCAACACATTAGCTTTGAGGGATATACTCAAACTTACCTCTACCCAAGCCACAAACTTTTGGCTTGGGCTGCCTTATTTTCTTTTTTTGAGCCATGTGTTAGTCAGCTTTTTGTTACTATGACAAGATACCTGAAATAATAAACTTAAAAAGAAGAAAGATATATTTGGGCTCATTGTTCAGGGGTTTCAGTCTGTGGTCATCTGGCCCTGTTGCTTTGGATCTGTGGCAAGACAGAACATTGTGGCGGAAGTGTGTGATAGAGGTTTGTTCACCTCACAGAAGCCAGGAAGCAGGGAGAAGAAGGGGCACAAATCCAAATTATCCTTTTACATGGCATCACCCCAATAACCTAATTTCCTCTGAGTAGGCCCTGCCTCCTAAAAGTTCTGCCACCTCCCAGTAGCGCCACAGGCTGGGTATTTGGCTAACACAAAGTCAGCCTGAGAAAGAGTGTTATCGGATACTAGAATTTGAATTTTGACCTTTAAAGCCAGAATCTGTAGTTGTGGGTTGGCAGCTGTCAGTGATATTGGTAGTTTTTTCCTGAAGAAATGAATGTGTTTGTGTTAAAAACATATAGGGATATTTGCCCCTAAGTACCTATTCAAGCTCTAAAGAATAGTAAACCCCATATCTCATGTGGTTACCAGGTCCTTATTTAAATCTCCTATGTCTGTTCCTTGATCTCTGTCTCTGCCACTACTGTCTCTGGTATCCTGGCTACCACCTGGCTTTTTTAATCTATTGTTTTTGTTGCCCCAGGACAATTATCTGTAAATTAGAACTCCTCAGAGGCTCTTTATTGCCTGTGGCCACTTTTCTTATAAAGAAAACACTGTATCTTTTCTGGTTTATGTTTCTAGTGACATGAATTTTCTCTGTCCTTCCACATGTCTTTATGTTCCAGTTCAAGGCACCTTTTTTACTTTCACTGTCAATTCCTCTGAACAAACTGAGGCATTTACAGAGTTAACATTTTCAGAGTTATTTGAATCCTTATTTCTTGATTCTCATCAGGTATCATACCTGTTTGGTTGAAATTGATTTGTGTGGATAAAATGGCATCATCAGCTAGAGCGGGAGATGGTAGATTATACTTTAAAAAACCAAAACAAGAACAGACCCTTGGGGGCTGGGGATGTGGCTCAAGCGGTAGCGCACTCAGCTGGCATGCGTATGGCCCGGGTTCGATCCTCAGCACCACATACAAACAAAGATGTTGTGTCCGCCGAAAACTAAAAAATAAATATAAAATTCCCTCTCTCTCTCTCTTAAAAAAAAAAAAAGAACAGACCCTTGGTTTTAATTCTGACCTCCTCTTATTTATTTATTTATTTAGTTAGTTAGTTAGTTTTATGTAATGCTGAGGATCAAACCTAGTGCCTCACATGTGCTAGGCAGGCGCTCTATCACTGGGCCATAACCCCAGCCCATGACCTCCTCTTACTCTAATGCATGGTTCCTTCTCTATCTGAAATAAGCCTACAGGTAGAGGTTTAAAAGTGAAGTGAGTCCCTGCCTATCTATCTCTACATCATGTGCTCATTCCCTCTCTTTCCTCCTATCTTGTATCTCTGCCTCTTTGCTATAACTAAACAAGAGACTGGGTCATTGGAAAGAACATAGGCTTTAGAGTCTGACAGAACTGAGTTCAGGTCTTGGCATTATCGTTTTTTAGCTGTGGGATCTTGAATAACCCCTCTGAATTTCATTTTTTTCTTTCTCTTTTTACACAAAAATAATTTATTTTATTTTTCCAGAAAACCATTTGACAGAATCATATACCTATTTATGGTTTAAAAAAAAAAAAACAAGAATTGAGGGTGTAGCTTAGTATCAGAGTGTTACCTAATATAGGTGAGGCCCTGGGTTCAAAAGATTACTGTTTCAAAAAAACAAAACAACAACAACAACAAAAAACTCTCATATTCCAATAAGACAAGAAAAGGAAATGAAAGGAATACAGTCTGCTTTTTGTTGCTTGAGTATCATTTTTGTGTGTGTGTGTGGAAACTGTAAATAACACTTCCTACCTCAAAGCAATCCATTGGAGGTTAGATGTGAAAAGTGTAAGCAAGGTATTTAGCATACTGTAGGCCATTAGGGAATAATAGTTGCTGGTATTATTTTGAATAGCTTTTTCAGGCACTCACATTTGGATCTGAGGGTTGATTCTAGAGCCCAGAGTGTATGGTGCTAGAGGTCGGGGTCCTTTCCTTGAATGGGGTGGGATCCATGGCTAATGGGTTAGCCTTTGGAGTCTATTTGTCCTGTAGACTTTATTGGGACTTCCTAGCTTAAGACTCCATGCCTGGGGCATGTGTGTGTCCAACTTGTTCTCTCTTCCCTTTCTTGTAGGCTTCCAGGCCAGTGCCAGTACTTGGGTTTGCCAGTGGCGGATTACTTCAAGCAGTGGATTAATCTGAAAAAGGTACTATCTGAGCCCTACCCAAGGTCTTCCTTGGGTTCTCCTATGCCTCAGAGCTCCCCTCCCATTTCTGTTGTCTTTTTCTTTTTGTTCTCTTTTCTTTTTTCCCAACTTCTCTTCTTCCTCTTCCCTAGCTAATGGGTACTGAAATGTTATAGTTATTTCTGGGAGTGGGAATCTGCTGAGGACTAGGTAAAATATACTGCTCTAGTTGGTTTTATGCAGATATGCATAGAGGTCCCAGGTAAAGGAATTTTCCAGGGTTCTCAGTCAGAGCCAAATCTCTGGGCTGAGCCACATTATTAGTAAGAGATGGGGTGCTAGCTGAGTCTCTGGGAAAGTATTCTTTGGTGACCTCAGGAGTGTAGCTTCTGAGCCTCTTGATTGGCCTTGGTATCTCCCTCTGGTTGGGAGGAGAGTCCATACAAGCTGGTTTTGGTCCCACCTAGCCTTAGCAGCGCCTCATTCATATGTACAGGAGGGAGGAGACTGGCACTAATGCAGCCCTGAGGACCTCGAGAGTTGGTACTAAAGCTCTGGGCTGGTAAGGATCCTGTGTAGCTAAGACAATGACTGTGGTAGAGAATTAATCATCCAGAAAACTGTACTTTCTCTGTGTTTGTTGTGTTTTCTAGGTAAGCATTAGGAAGGATATATAGGTTTAGACTCCCCACATCTCTGTCTAGAGGAATCCTTATTACAGAAGGCCCAATCCACTAGGAGACTAACCCCCATAAATCATTCTGATATAGGACAAGAGCCTTAGAGCACTCTCAGGAACCTCATGCTTCTGGTCAGTTTAGCAACTCCCAGGAAGCCAAAAGAAGGAAGAACATACTAGGGATCAGGGTGGTAGCTCAGAAAAAAGAAGCCTTTGCAGGGGTGCAGGGTGCTGAGGCTAGGTATTGGGAAGATTTGGATCTTAAACTGGGCAATATGGATACAAGGAGGAAATAATATTTCTGGGCAGCGAGAGCATCATGCTTTTGGTGTGTGTGGCTAGAGCTAAGCAAACATGTGGGAGAACAGTAGAAGAGAAAGTTTGTGGCAACTGCTGCCACAAAGCATGGAACCAAGTCCAAGGAATGTGGAACAAATACTTATAGATGTCCTTTGCACTCTGACTTCTTTGTACTTTTACCCCTATCCATTTCTCCTGCTGATCTCCCCTGCAGCTGAGCCAATGCCATCTACTACTTCTCATCTTTGAGAAGACTAGGCTCTGTCCTACCTTTGGGACCTGGCCTCTGGCCTTCCCTCTGCCTGAAATCATCTCCCCCAGTTATTTTCATTGTACATATTCCCTCTCCCTGAAAATCCACCTAGGTATCATTTCTGCTGAGCCTCTCTTGCCCTGAGGCTCTTTGGCACTTGGGATTAGTTAACTCAGTTGAAACTGAGTCCATGTATTTTCCTCCCAGACATGTACACCTGGAGTACAGAGACTGAGTCTCTTCTGTGTCCCCAGTGGTTAGACCAGGGCTGGGTACAGAATATGTTCTCAGTGAATAATTGCTGGCTGACTGGATCATCTTTGAGAACTAACTCCACAGAGGCTTCCCAGGCAGGGTTTGGTGCGCTAAGCATGCCCGTGTGGCTGGGCATACACTCCTGAAAGACAGCATGCTAGCTGTCAGAGCTCATCTGAGGCTGCTGTCTAGCCTCAGCAAATGCAATGTGAAGACCCGTCCAGGCGCAGCAGGCGCTGACCATGAACAATTACTCTGTGAAGTTCACTTGACTTTTTGGTGTGTGGACAGCTCCACGCCTCTAGGTTCCTTGGCAGAAAGGCAGGAAAGCAGCTGACCCATGTGGTAACATTGCCACTCAGGGCCACCTTGGTGCTGTTGGGCCCAAAGGGTGGGGGAGGAATTCCTGAGCCTCATCAGCTTGGTTCTCCACCAACTGTCAAGATAGAGGGGGGAAATGAGCACGAGGAGAAACTTAGGACTCTATTTTCAGTTGGCCTTGTGATTTCCTCTTGTGAGGTAAACCAAGCAGATCTGGGAAAAACAAAGGATCTAACCCCTAGTGCCTTCTAGTCACATCATTCCAAATGTACCCTTAAGTGAGCAACTGGGACTGAACTCACCATCCCCATTTCCTGAAGCCCCTAATCTAAGAAAAGCAAAGTGCCATCTCTCAGCTGTCCTATCTTCTCCAGAAATGGTATGGGCTGGGTCAGGAAAGAGCAGCTTTTCAACAGCCAGGTTTCTACATCTCCCGCCTCCATCTACTTCCCCTGTAGCAGAGTAGAGCATGCCAGTGCTTGCTGACATTTGGAATGTCATTGAATGATCTTAGACTTTTATTGAGCTGTCAGCTTAGAGAAGACTTTGGGCCCTGCTCCCAGCTCCCTCCAGGAGGGCAAAGCTGTCACTGAAGGGCCAGAAAAAATACACATGCGCACCCGTGCATACACACACACACACACACACACACGTGCGCCTAAGGACACACAGGTTCTCGTGTGAATAAATACACCCAAGTAAGTATACTCGAAATTATACATATCCTTATGTGCATGCCCATGTATTTACATATCCACATAAATAGTCACCTGCAGAAATGTGTGGAAATATGAACAGACATGAATGTTTCTATGTGTTCATAAAATCTAAAGACATGTGCATATATATAAATATATACATTTTCATCAAGAAATAAATCTTGAGGGCCTTCTGTGTGCCAGGTACTATGCTAGGCTCTGGGAATGTAACAGAAAAAATGGATGTTGACCAAACAATTTCAGCTGAATTGAGAATGCTAAACAGTTCAGAGTTGCGGATCATATAATAAGGAATATGACTTAGTTGGGTGGAATCAAAGAATAGTTTTCTGAGAAAGGTTTTCTAAACTGAAGAGTGAAGGAGGAATGACTAAGCACAGAGAAAAGCATGCAGTAAGGCCCTTAGATGAAGAGAAACCTGGCAGCTTCATAGAAACCAGGAGGATGCAGAATTTTTGTCTCTTGTTTACTGTTTTATTTCCATTACTTCGAATGGTTCATGGCCCATAGACAATTTAATCATTATATGTTGAGTGAATGACTACCTAAAGCATAGTGAATGTGGGAAGAAGAGACCGGTATGATGAAACTGAAGAGGAAAGCAGGACCATATTTTGATTTTGATCTTTATCTTTAGGGTAAGGGGAAGCTTTAAAGGGTATTAAGAGGCATTATCTGGCTGGGTACAATGGCATATGCCTGGAATCCCAACTGGGGAGGCTGAAGCAGGAGGATCACAAGTTTTGAAGCCAGCCTCAGCAACTTCATGAGGTCCACCATGCGGCCTGCGCAATGGTTTCATTAATGAGGTTCTTGGCATAAAAGTTAGCTAGAAGAGATCGAAATAAAACACACAGACTCAGTTACCTTATTTCTATTGCCAGGTCCGAGACGGCTCCCCTCTCTGGTTCCCTCCTCTAACTGCCCAGCAGGGCAGCAAGGATTACTCAGGGCTAGCAGGAGAGAGAGAGAGTGAACACGCCTGGGAGTAGCCTTTTATTGGGGAACAAGAAATTCAGGGGAGAATTCCATCCAATGAAGGTTGAGGGGGACTGCACTCCAAGGTCAGGGTCAGTGATTGGGCCCCCAGGGTCAGTGGTCAGTCACACCCCCACACGGATGGGTTCTCTCATCAGGAAAGGGCCGGGAAAGTTCCGACACAGCCAGAACGCCTCAGACCCTTAACGGGAGCCGCCCAGTCACGTGTCAGAATGGCTTCCCACAATGAGGCTCTAAGAAACTTAGGGAGACACTGTCTCAAAATAAAAAATTAAAAAGCCTGGAGATGTGGCTCAGTGGTTAAGTGCCTCTGGGTTCAATCCTTGGTACCAAAAAAGGGTGGGGGGGCATCTGATTTGTGTTTTTAAAAGGTCTCTCTAAGTGCAATATAGAGAAAGCCAAGAGCAGATACGAAAACCCAGTTACTTTTTCCTTTTCTTTCTTTCTTTCTTTTTTTTTTTTTTTTGTACTGGAGATTGAACCCAGGGGTGCTTCACCACTGAGCTACATCCCTAACTCTTTATTTTGTGACTGGGTCTCGCTAAGTTGCTTAAGGTCTCACTAAATTGCTGAGGCTGGCTTTGAAACTTGCAGCCTTTTGCCTCAGCCTCTGGAGTCACTGGGATTAAACTAGTTACTTTTTCTTAATGGGACAGTAGTTGGCCTTTTTGAGTGGCACTACTGAACTTGTGACATTCTAGGTTCTTGCTCATTGAACCAATAGTGATCCTCTAATAATCACTAGGCAACCAGAACTGCCTCCTCCTGCCATCCACACATATATTTCCAGGACCTGGACAGGGGTGGGAATGAAGAAGTACTGTCTCTGATTGAGTATTGCAGAATTAGACCATTTCTGTTAAGTCTAGGTAGAAGATGATAGTTACTTGGATTAAACTGACGGCAGTGGTGAGGTAGAGAAATGGACTGATTCCAGAATGTTAATATTCATTCTATAAAGCAACATATAGGCTCCTAAAAGTTTGCATGCTATGAAAAGTCATACAGTAAACATTCATTTAGGAGTATGATACTCAAAACTTCATCAGTGATACATATAAAAAAAGATTGAGTCTAATAAAAATAACATAGTTTTACACATTAAATGGTTAATATATAAATTAAAGGTATAAACATAAACATATACATATTTATACATAAATATATTTATGTATAAATATGAAATATAAATATAGATTAATGGTAATATATAAATATATCACCATTAAATTGTAATATATAAATACTGCAATAAATATCACACTTTACCTTGAAAGGGACCCAAAGTTTGCTTTTAGGTGTAGAAGGATCACAGCTTTATGTGGGGCACTGTGGCACATGCCTGTAATCCTAGCAACTGGGAAGACTGAGGCAGGATGATCACAAGTTCAAGGCCAGTCTCGGCAACTTGGTGAGACTCTGTCTCCAAAAAAAAAAAAAAAGGACTGGGGGGATTGGGTGTATAGCTCAGTGTTGGAGCACCTCAACCTGTTCA